ATCCCAGAAACACGAAAAATAGCGTCCAAGTGGAAAAGCAGACGACCATATGTCAAAATATATCATGCGACAGGTCAAAACAGCGCAAAACAACGAGAGAACTAGCTCATCTATCCAGCAATCTCTATCATTTTATAAGACCAAGTAGAGTTTTGACAGCCTCTATTTTCCGGAAGGTGGATAACCATTTTATGTTTGTCCTTCTTTTGTCAAGCTACAAATTTGAGAGAGTGGAATACCACTTAATGTGAATCAGCCTAATTATTTCGCCGTTGAGATAAACGAGCCAAAGAATGAAACTTGGTGAATTTCAAGGTCTAAAGAATATTCTGGAGATTCTGATTGGCTACTAATTTCCGTTTTCTTGTGTCTAAACGCATACCCATAAAGGAATGCTCGGATTATGGCGAAGTGTGAACAACTTGCTTGATCATTATATCTTTTCTACCCTAACTTTAAATAAACCTCATGTACATTGTTAGATTGAACTCTACGCGTCAATCAACGTGGTTTCCTGGAACAGAAAAGGCATATAGCAGTAGGAACGCCAGATTGTTTTGGTAGAACCTCAGCGTTGCTTGGGATTGAATACCTTGTTGTACCATCGTTCATTAGGTCTCCTCATCAAGCGCCCCTAATCGCTTTTTAGCCGATGAATCTGTGTGCGGCAGATGTGGCTGTGTCAAAAAAAGCGCGAAGACCGTGGAGAACCTGTGTATGTATCATTAAACATGAATCGAGTTCCAAAGTTGTAGCTATCCTCAGGGAATGCAGAGATGAAGCAGACTTTCACCACACATCAAGTGTGAACAATACTACACCAGCTTCAATTGACATTTTTGTACTAATGAAGGCTTCCGATGTGGAAATAGTTATTAGAAAACACCAAGTGAACTTTACAGACTACTGGACAGGGAAGCAAAACTCTCACATGCACCTTATTTATAAAAAAATGAATATCCGTTTTCTTCTTGCACGCACCTTCCTGAACTTTCCTGGATATCCATTAAATACCACTCAAACGTAAACCAATACTACAAAGCAATTCCATAAATTCCATAATAAATCTCACTTTCTGATAGACGCAGAGCGGAGTTGTGAGAAAACCACATACTACTAACATGCTTCATCAGTAGTAACCACAGTTACACTAGTACATGGTAAAATTTACTCGTTTGGTACTAATTAGTTAGGTTTTCGTGCAACACCATGGCTGGCGACACATAAGCTCCGGAAGCATGCCCACATTTGTATGTTAGGCTTTTGTAAANATCGAAGTCTCATTCATCGCGAGAATTTTGTTTACTCTTCCACTGCGCTATCCATCTATTGTTAGTTTGTTGTGAACCTGCTGAATCCATGTGACCTAAAGTTACCGTAATAAAACTCGTTCCCAGGACGCATCACACTGCACAGATTCCGGTGGACCACGCTGTAAATATGTGTTTCTCCCCTGGGTTGGTTCCTATTCTAGCCTATCCTAACAGGCCATAGATCTTCTGAGTCCGACTATCAAATAATTCGGTGAGCAACCCTCTTTATTTGAAACCCTCAGGTTTCCCTACACAGTTTGTTCGGAGGCCAGCCGTCCCCAATAACCGAACATCATATCATTTGGAAGGGTGTCACGTGCAGGACACGGACCAAACGAAGGCATGCCCCGATTGGTCAGAACGCCAGCCAATCCGGATCGAGCATCTCTGACTCGACGCCTCTCGCCCCCTCACGGAGATTCTGGCACGACCTTGTGGAACACCATGTGACTGAGCTACAAATACAATTGTAATAATTTTCCTTTGTCCCCATAAAGAGCTGTGTAGAGTTACCGCGCCTTTTGATATATCATAGTGGACGGAGCAGGGAACCAAGGGACCGATACAGAGTTGCACAATCGTACACCGAGTGACAACACAGTTGTTCATGGAAAATTTCCTGGCTCCGTTCTGCGAAACTGTCGGCCAGACTTCAATCATGATTGCTGCCTGCATCGCAGTAAATTCTTGAAGGTGTGGGTGCATGTAATGACAATAGAACGGTGGGACGGCATGCTAGTAAAAGAAATGATCTTATTCGCAGAATCATATAGTCCATACCCAACAGGTCGATAATAACCGGGACATTTGGAAAAGAACGAAGAAGGTAGCGAACAAAGCTTGTTTTCTGTGATTGTTCATCTTGGCTAATACATCACAAATTTATATGGTAGCAGAAATCACG